CAGTGAGAACATTTTTTCTACAACCTGAAGCCACATTCAGCGTAACACGACACTCTTACTCTCCCTTCATTACTTCTTGTTCAAACATTGATTATATGATGCCTGTCGCTATCGTGTAGCCCTCAATCGGACTTCCAGCTGGTTAATTCAAACTTGAACTCTCAAGTCTAATGTTTTGTTTTCTTTGCACTGATTTGAATCGTGAATGTGCAGTCAGGGTGTTGTTGTCATTTGACAATAAAGAACTGATGGTTATTCTTTGAGAAAGTCCGGTCTCGTCTGTAATGTGTTCTTTATCAATACAAACCTGATCGCTTTGTTTAAACACGAGTGAAAATTATCATTTTGAATATATATTTATTGTTTTTTTTACAGATAAATCTAAAGGATGAAACATTGATGTGCAGCCTGAGGTTAAATGGTCTTGAGCTTGTTTATTTCTTTTCTAGTCTTCTGACTCCTCAAAGCTCTTTTACTCCGCAGGTTGCACCTACACATTCACACACTGATGGTAGAGGCTGCTGAGTAAAGAGTCCATCAGTATTAACTCATCCATTCATACACATTCACACACTGATGGTAGAGGCTGCTGAGTAAAGAGTCCATCAGTATTAACTCATCCATTCATACACATTCTCACACTGATGGTAGAGGCTGCTGAGTAAAGAGTCCATCAGTATTAACTCATCCATTCATACACATTCACACACTGATGGTAGAGGCTGCTGAGTAAAGAGTCCATCAGTATTAACTCATCCATTCATACACATTCACACACTGATGGTAGAGGCTGCTGAGTAAAGAGCCCATCAGAAGTAAATAAAATAAAAAAAGTAAATAATCCATTCATACGTCGTCGATGAAGTAGGGGTAGCTAGCAACTTGGGTTTAAGTGTCTTGCCTGAGCAGGGGTGTGTCCAAATGGGCGGCATGGCCCCCCCCCCCCTTTATACGTTGTAAAATTGTGTTTCTTACAAGAACATGTCAAAATAATTCAATTATTTTGTGCGTGCATGCGTCTGTGTCTGTCTGTCTGTCTGTCTGTCTGTCCGTCCGTCCACTAAAGTCAGACCACCCCTGCATAAGTCAGGGCCCCAGGTGAGCCATCCCAGTTAAAAAGGTCTGGATAAGTCTGCTCAAGGACACATCGGACGTGGCTGCAGGAGCTGGGGATCAAACTCCCGACCCACCGGTTAAGAGACTACTGAATCTACCACTGAGCATGAAAGAGAATAAAAATGTAATCCACTTATGTGAAGATGCTAACTGCACCCTCTGAGAAACTGTTTGACACAAAGTCAAACAAAAAAACAGTCATCTGTTTTAAATTAACAAAGTCACACAAAGGTCACTAGAAAACACCCAGAGTGCAAATAGAAAATGTCACAGTATGATGGTTCAGGTTCAGGCCGACTAAGAGACAGTGACAAATGACGGGAGGAGACGAGGAGTTACTCACAAAAACCTCCTACATTTATTTAGAACCACATAATCATCCAATTGAACAACATGGTGAGATGAGATCAGTTGTCTAAGGGTGTATGCATGAGTGAAAGTATGATGAGGAAGGTGTTGTGTTTAAAATCCAACAGAAAGAAAGAGGAGCAGCCTCTCCCTATCTCCCACAATGAGGAAGTTCTGCTCTTATGGATTGGGAACACTGAGCCCAGGTGTTGTTGTGGTGCCGGACACATCGTAAAAATGAGTTTCTGAGTTGTAAAATACACATGAACGCCTGCTCGAGTCTGAACAACAATTCGTAAAGTCGGAAAAGAATCAGGTTGCCGACTTGACGTCTGAATCGTCGTCAACATGGGGGGCAAAATATGTTTTGTTAATGTTAAGATACTTCTTATTAATTCATGTATTGCGCGTCAACTTTTTGCTCAAATATAACTTTTAACAGAGACATCCACACATCTTCTGTTTGTTGTTGTTGTGACGATATTACAACTTTGTGCCCTGAAAACGTGAACACACTGAAGTCGGAAGAATGACTTCCCAAGTCGGAAACTGGACCCTCCGAGGAGCACCTGAATGCAGCATTTCTCACTGACTCCCCCACAATGTGGAGGTTCTGATTTTATGGATTGGAAAACACCGGGCCCAGGTGATGTCAATCCACGATCACCCAGGAACAGCCAACCAACAGGGTCGTCACACCGTGGGTCCATTTGTTTGCAGCCAGAAAGATTGATATCCATTTTTTTTGGAGCTTTTTGTGCCTTAAATGTAGAGATAGGACAGTGGATGGAGTCTGAAATCAGGTAGAGAGAGAGAGAGAGAGTGGGGAATGGCATGCGGTAAAGGAGCCACAGGCTGGATTTGAACCTGGGCCGCCTGCTTGAAGGACTACAGGACCACCATGGGGCGCACGCACTAACCACTGCTCCACCAGCGCCCCAAATGTTTGACATCCATAATAAAAGAGTGCAAAACAGATGTGACGGGGAACAACACAGATACAGACTCACTTATTTTAGGGATCACGAGCTGAAACATTTGGGAATCTCTCTCTCTCTCTCTCTCTCTCTCTCTCTGTCTCTTTCTCTCAATTCAATTCAAATGAGCTTTATTAACATGACAGATCAACAATCCATGTTGCCAAAGCAGTACAGAAAACATTTTGAACAACAAATGATTACAATATATACAGTAAACAAATATAACAAATATGAATAAAAGACATTAACAATAACATGAAATATTTTTACAGTGTATTTCTATGAAACATTAAGTGTATTTTGTCTCAGTTCTCAGTCTCTCTCTCTCTTTCTCCCTGGTTTCTGACTCTATCCACTGTCCTCTCCAAATGAAGGCACAAAAAGCCCCTCAGTTAATGACTTGGTTTGAACTGTTGCACAATAAGTCACGTCGCCCTTTTGGCCTGCGCTCAGGATGTTCAAGTTGGCCCCCAGCTCACAAAGTGTGAGTACAGACAATAAGACCCAGCTGTTCATCTATTCACCACATCTGCCCCATGTCACTTATAGGATCCTCTGGGAAGTGACTGTAATAATGTATAAGGACCTGTTTACAATGTAAATAAAGGTCTACTGTTGTTTATGTGATGAGACACACAGTGCGCTTACATAAAGGGACCAACCAATCAGTATTCATTCTCTGAATAAAGGATAAGAAGAGAAATCTGAGCTGTAGAAAAGTTACACACAGAAGGTGATGACTCTGAAACAAACTGCGTGATTGTGTAATTACTTGAAATATCTGACTCTATGGATAGAGGGTTTATTATATTGAAACGTGCTTCAGTACGATTTTAATGACCATTCATCACAACAGACCAGGGGTCTCATTTATAAAAGAGTGCGTAGAATCCATACTAAAAGTGTATGTGGGCCAAAAACCCGGAAATGGCGTACGCACAAAATGATTCAGAGTTATAAAACCATTCGTACGCACACCTGCACGCAATGTTCCCTTTATAAATCACGATCCACCTGGAAATGAGCGCACGTAGATTAGTCCCATGTTCCGCCCTCTACACACCCACAATCTACCATGAACGGTCAATGCAAAGCAGCTTGTGAATGAAAATGCATACAAACGAGGGGGCAGAGCTAAGGTTTAGGCAAAGAAACAAAACTTTCTGACTGGGAGTTTTGTTAATGAAGTGAAGGATATAATAGACATATCGGTAGTTTTTTGCAGCAGGAGGATCACAAACTTTACAAAAATCAGAGAATGACAGCACGTCGCTGCTGCATTTACCCTGTCCTATGTGCCAAAACATCCAGCGTTCATCATTACACAAAAGTATATCTACAATGTTTACATGTTTACAGGACCCACACTGACTTCTACATATTGTCAGAGTGCTCACGTCAGTCAGCAGGCTCCCTCACTCTATCATATTAGTAATCAAAAGTTTGATCAATGAACAAAAACGTTTGATTGTTGGCCCTTTTTTTCGTGGTAAACTCTGTCTGCTCTGTGACTAATTATGAGGATATATATGCTTAATGATCCTGTCTGAGATGACCTGACTTAATGTCCACACGTGAATTATTTACAGAATAAATACATGCAGCTGATGAAGATGTGCTGAGTCTGGTGGAGGCGAAATCAGTGAAGCCATCGCCGTGTCTCTGTGCGTCTTGACGCAGGCATCTTTCTTAAAACTAAAAACCAAACTTGATGATAAATGCACGATATTGAAAGATATTAATGAAAACTGGAGGCTCTATGGTCTTTGTGTTAGTCTAATGTTGAACTCTACATCAGTGATTACATTAGTGTACAAGTCCAGTCCTCTGAGGTCCGTCCGGGATAATGAAGGCGAGACAGCGCTGATGCAATATGTATGAGGTGGACTTATATTTTTTTGTTTTTATTTGTTTATATTGTCATAATAAAGTGACTTATTGGAAACGGCTCACTACATGTGCAATTATAGCCTAAAAAAACAATCAGTTTGAATGATTATGATGATGTGGATCTGTCAGTAAATTTTGATATTTAGTGAAATAAAATGTGGAAGAGACATCAATATGTTCTGCAGGCTTCAATTCACCACTTCACCGTCTGTGTCGCCAATTTCCCATGCCTCCAAAACGAACGTACGCCTGGGTCAGAGTTTGCTTACCGGTGCGCACATTTTACCGTCAGGTTTGTTTTTATAGATCACAGACTTTGCGTGAGAAAAGGCGTATGCCAGTTTCAGACAGCGTTTTGTGCGTACGCAACGGTTATAAATACGACCCCTGATCCTGTTCTGTCTTGCCTTAGGTTGTCTTTCTTCTTGGAAAATACCCAGAATGAGATAAACCTGATCTTAATCTGAGTAAGCATATGCACCGAGGCGAGCTGTGTAATTTTATCAGCGATGATTGAAAAAAGATCCTGGTCCTGTGACGTGACAGCACCCTCACAGGAATCCCCTGAATTCCCAGACGCCACCTTTTGTAGGTGGTTCAAGTGCGCCATGGATGATTATTGCTTCACCTACTGTGTAACGAAGCCCTCCAACATAGAAGAAATAAGAGACTTTAATAGGCATTGTACGTTTTGTGAACATGACGGCCCCTCCTCCCCTAAAAAGAAGAAGTGAAGGGGGAAAGTCTCTGCAGTCCGACTCCACTCCTGGAAGAAGTGGGGCAGCAGCCGAGGAAAAACACCTAAACCACATTTTCCTACAACTAATGGAAGCGAGATTATCCAGAAAAGATCCTAAACTCGTTGTTTTTTATGCAGGTAAAGCTAAAAATTAAATAAGTGGACATCAAACTACTGCATGTTTGGAGGAGTTTGTGATGTAAGAGGTCGCTGCAGAAGAAAGTGTGATGAATGAACCCTCCGCGGCGCATGGAGGAGAGCCTCTCCTGCAGGAGACATGGGAGTGTGTGAGAGCAGCTCAGGAGGAGATCCTGCTCTCTCCGTACCTGCCTGCGTCCTGCGCCTTTCTCATCCACGTCCTCCTCTGCGCACCTTTCCTGGCGCTGGACGCGCTGGGCAGCGTCAGTCTGCGGGTCCGGTCGTGGAGGATCGCCGCCGGCTCCGGTCCGCCGCCGTCCCTCCGTCAGTGGGGTGACTGCTTTTGGAGGGTGCTGTCCAGATACCTGGGCACCGTCCTCCCCGCCACCGCCGTGTTCCAGACCCTGAGGAGCCCCACGGTGCCGGAGCTGGCTCCGTCCTGCTGGCAGCTCTTCGTGGAGGTCTTTGCGTGCTGTCTGCTTTTTGACACGCTCTTCTTCATCTGGCACCTCTCCATGCACAGGTGAGCAGCATGCACAGGTTATGATCTGAACCATCCCGTCCACTGATTGGCTTATTGTTGAGTTTTAGTTCTCAAGTTGTGGAGACTTTCTCACGCTGCAGAAAATAGAAACTTTAAAGAGACTCTAGCTTCTGATCAAATAGTTTAATATTATCAGATAAGACTTTATAAAGAGCCATTATTAGCACATACTGATGATGCTAATTTAATTGTCTGCTCACCTCACCTGCATGTAAGAACAGAATACGGCTCTACACTTCACCACACTATCAGTGTTACTACTCAGATTTAACAGACCATAAAAAATAATTAGAGAAATTAGAGTGGTGTCAAGGGGTCATTCTGGGGAAAAAATGGACGATTGGTGCATTGTGAAACATTCTTTAATCAAAGGCAGAATGTGTATTATTTCTCGTTCAGTCTGAAAGTCTGAGTAGTCCTCAGTTAAATCATGCAAATTTCCCAATTGCTCATTTTTTTGTAGCTTTTTTTCAGAGTTACATACTGCTCCTTTAGTGATTCAATGTCAAAAACCTAAATATCCCATAATGCAACCAATTCACTCTTCTTCAGAAAGCTGTGCCTGGTAAATGTTCAAATCAGAGCCTTTCCATTCTTTAAGTATGATTTACGTCCCCCCCCCCCCACCCCTTAGTTTGAATCTCTGACAATAATGTTTTGGTCTTGGGCTCTCTCAGATTATTCTAAAATGTTGGTACACAAACTTTTAAACTGAGATCAAACGTTGATATCAGACCTTTCATGTTCTTTAAAGGCAGAATGTGTGACATGTTCCACATAAATAAATCATAAATCCAGTCTATCCTGTGTAAATCTCTCTGAGTCATGGCTGTCTACAATGAGTGAGAAGCTCGAGTCCCACTGGCTGTGTTGTTGTTAGAGCCGTGTTTACATGGACGGGACGGCCGGCTCCTCCCCTTGTGTATAAAAGCTGTTTTAGTCAAGAACTAGAGAGAAGAAGAAGAACATACTCACTGATTATTTGATCACGCTCATTCTGTGTAATGAGGGTAGCAGAGAGAATCACTCCCATGATTCCCCACCAATCTCAACATCATGTTTTTGTTATTGTTTTGATTGAGCGCCCCCCTGGTGGTGGAGTTTACTTACTGTGCTTTTAATGGAAAAAATAATGATGTATTTCATCAACCATTGATATGCTACACTCTCTCACTCCTTGTGGAAAACCATCAGCGTGAGCAGCTCATGCTGAACAGATGAGTCGATGTGAACAGCTGTGTGGTCCACATGTGTGCAAAGTTTTGATTGAAGTTTTGGGACTTTTACTTTATTCTGGATTCATAAAGGGGTCAAGTAAAGGGATATTTTTCTTTTCTTAAAATATGTGTGTGTGGGTTTAAGTTACTCTGGGGACATTGACGGGAAATTGACAAGCAGCCAAACACATCCTTCTTCTAACTTCAGATTCTGCTCCTGAATGCTCTGGATTTGTTTGGACCAGAGAAGGTAGGCGCTTTTAAGACACACCCACACGGCCGTTTTGGACGCCCCTCAGTTTTCCTGATATGAGAGCAGTTATCAGGTCAACAGGTGTTGCAGTGATGGAAGTGGGCGAGAGAACTGTTTCAGATAGAAGTGATTGTACCCGACCTAAAAAGCCTCTGCATGTTTCTAATAAGCTCCACGAGCAGAAACGTGCTCAAACTAGGATCAATATTGGAGATGCTTTTGAAAAATGGAGAGAGGTTAGAACACAGAAAGGTTTACAGACCGATGCAGAGCTGGATAAACACTGAAGCTTCAGAGTCCACCACATGGTGACCTGTGTGAGCATCCACTCTAGAGAGGAGAGGGGGGAGACAGTCTCTCTACAATGTTTAGAATTTAGACTGCAGTACCCATTTTAGGACCCCCACTAGGGGTCAGAGTTACATATTGCTCCTGTAAATCCTTAGGGATTAAATCTCAAAAACCTAAATATCCCATCATGCAACTAATTCACATCTTTCTTTAGAAAGCTGTGCCTCTTTGTGACAGTGACTTATCTGTTCTGAAAAAGTGATTCAGTGTCCAGTCTGAGGTAATCCTTATGACTTCCCTTATTGATGTTTTCACACATGCAGACAAAACGCCTGAGGACTTTCAGAAACATTTTCAGTGTGAGCTTCATGTGTGAAGTTCAAACGAAAGGCCATTCCCCCTGACTTTCCCTTTCACATTTTTCAGCCCTTTAGTAACATTTCCAGTGAATGTCAGTGATACATGTGTGAATGCAGCAGGAAATACACTCTACAAGTACTCACCACAAGTGAGTGGTTAGGGGTGACGACGCCAGCAGTGTGTGACTGGTACAATTTTGTACATATCATGAAGCTGCTTCATTTCCTGCTGGTCCAGTACGTCCAGTCCTGTGCCCCGGCTGAAGGGAAAACTTCACGCTGCTAAGGAAATGTGTGAAGAATAACTCATACAAATGTTCAGTGTACGGCTGCCCTGAATTCTTCTAGAAACTTTCAGGAGAGCATGTGTGAAAACATTTCTTGACATCATGAAGTTCAGGTATAGTGATTTTCCTGAGCTCAGTGAGCCTAGGAGTCCTGACGGCTTTTATTAAAGTTGATTTTATTGTTAGTAGCAGCAAGAGCAATGAAGTAGCGTTAGTGCTTGCAGAAATTGTAAAATTCACTTTTTAAACTCCAATAGACACAGTTGTTCGTATCTCAACCGGAAGGTCGAGGGTTTGATCCCCAGCTCCTGCAGCCACATGTCCAATGTGTCCTTGGGCAAGACACTAAACCCCCAGTTGTTCCCGCTGCTTCATCGGTGGTGTATGAATGGATGAGTTAATACTGATGGACTCTTTACACAGCAACCTCTACCATCAGTGTGTAAATGTGTAGATGTGACCTGCAGTGTAAAAGAGCTTTGAGGAGTCAGAAGACTAGAAAAGAACGATGCAAGTCCATTTATATTTACTGTGATTTAAAGAAACGAGAAATTGATTTCCCATCATAGTAACTGAGGCCGCTTGTTGTGTGTTTCTCCTCAGGGTCCCCTGGCTGTACAGAAACATCCACCAGCCACACCACCACCACCACATACCTTTCGCTCTGGCAGCTCAGGACAGCAGCTCGGCCGAGCTCCTGTCTCTGCTGCTGCTGGCTCTGAGTAGCGCCTGGGTACTGGGCTGCCACCCTCTGAGCGAAGTCTTCTTCCACCTCATCAACACCTGGCTGGCAGTGGAGGACCACTGTGGCTACGACATGCCCTGGTCTCTGCGCAGACTGCTGCCCTGTCTGGGAGGAGCGCCCCACCACCAAGCCCACCACAGTGTCAACAGTGGCAACTACGCCCCCTACTTCACCCACTGGGACCACCTCTTTGGCACACACCTGTCATAAGATGAGTTTGGGTCAAGAGTGATAAGCACCGTGGGGAATTTGTCTGAACGTGACTAAGGCACATTGATTGGATTGAGATCTGTGATCGCACAAAGTGCACAAAGTTTAAAACAAATCAAATACTGTCTTGCTGAACTTTAAGGGATCAAGAGATTGTCAGATTTGTCATATTTTAAATCAATCCATCCATCCATTATGCATACCGCTTTTCCTATTTGGGGTCGCGGTGGGCTGGAGCCGACCCCAGCTGTCTTTGGGCAAGAGGCGGGGTTACACCCTGGACTGTTCATTAGCCAATCACAGGGCTGACATTGACAAGCATGTCTTTGGACTGTTGGAGGAAGCCGGAGTACCCGGAGAGAACCCACACATGCACGAGGAGAACATGCAGACTCCTCACAGAGAGACTCCTGTCAGACGGGGATTCAAACCAGGAACCTCCTCACTGTGAGGGGACAGAGCTAACCACTGCAGTACCATGCAGCCCAATCAAATGACTGAAAAATGTATAACTGTACCTACAAACTGTATGCGTCTTGTTACTGGATGATCTCCTTTTCCAATGACATTTTTTGTGACCATGTGAATCCTTTTGAACACTCATAATCTCCAGCTGTTCTCCAGAAAGTGAATGCAGTACGAGATGAGAAGAGCACAACGATGCACACAAAGAGACACACAAAGAGATCCCAAATTCCTGAGCTAATGTGAAACTGATGGGTGTGTCTTTGGATGAATCTAAACGTGTGTCTTGTACGTAGGTGTAAGGTAGAAAATGTGATTTTGATGGATGTTGAGCATAAGAGGAGAAAGGAAACGTGAAGTTAAAGGGGGGTTTCTGCATAGAGCTGAAATTAGCTAGCATTAGATGAAGATACTTTTGGACCCCCTGTGTCCACCTAGCGTGGAGCCAGTAGAGAGCGTTTGCAGCAGGCTTTTCCAACTGTACTTTTTCCCCCGTATTTTTGTCTCCTACGGATCGTGCACTGTACCTACATCCTGGTTGCGTGTCCAGTCAAAGCAGGAGGGCAAGCATCGTCCCTTTGATGCTCGTTGTGCAGGAGAAAAAAACAATCTCAAATGTACTTGCTTTTCAACCACACTTAACGCGTAGACAACGGGCTGCGTCATGAAAGTAAATGTTCACATCCTTCCCTTTGTATAACACTGTGTTACTGGAGGATTCCTCTAGAGGGTGCACCACATAAATCAGACAACATAAAACACCAGAGTAGAGATTCTGGATTTTGCATGGTGCTCGAGACGTTAGTATAGACAGTGCGGTTGCACCAGGGCCCATGGCTCGTGGGGGCCTGTGGAGAGGAAGGACTGCCGGGCCCCTTAAATGTTGAGATACCCTTCAACTAAACGGATGGTTTGTTTTTTGTGCGTTACAGTCAGTCAAAATCTATAACACAATTACATGCTTATTCTACATACACTAGAAACAAACTATATATATTAAAACGATTCGATTAAATTAATAATTTCCCAACTGTCTTAGTTATTTTTCATCATATCCTAATATGCAGTGATGATTGCTGGGTAATATGTTGTCATGTTGTACAAAAGGCAGTCAAACCCGCGATGGATAATTGCTGCACGCACCTGAAAGTCTGAGCGAGCGGGCGCGCTGGATATTCAGAGCTGGAACGCGCAGCAGAAGGAAGGAGAGCCCAATTATAAAACTCAAGTACCAGTAGAGGTGTGTGTGCGTCCTAGAGACCTGTAAGTTGTGTGATATAAGTTATAAGTACAGTCAGGGGCGTCGTAGTGGGGGGAAAAGTGGGACTGACAACCCAGGGCCCAGTAGTGAGGGGGGCCCTTCATGGGCCTGAAATAAAAATGTACTTCTTATTTGGCTTTTTTCTCTAAGTTATAACCACAATAAGATCACTAAAATTGTCTGAATAAATAAACAAACATTCAGAATTCCTTTCTGGAAAAAATGTGGAGTCTGTCTCAAAGGCCCCTTTCCCCCCCTTCTGAATGCGCAGAATGGTTTAGTCCTCCCACCACCTCTCGACTGGATTGATCTGGTGCACATCTCCGAGCGGACAGAGCAATTCAAAATGCTTTTCCATCATACAAGTGGAGGTCAAAAACAACAGGAGAGAAAGAAACAGGAGGAGAGGGCAGCAGAGCTCCCCACATTAGACTCTTTTGGGTCCACAAACAGCCACAAGCCCCACAGCTGACCCCCTGCCCCTTCCTAGCAGCAACGCAGCAGTTCGGCCCGTGCTTCAACAGCCACATTAGGAGGACAGAAGCTATAACGTTAGCCCTTAATAATCATGATATTAGACCAGATACACATTTCAAGACAAGTTATACATGCATTTTGTAACAATCAAACACATTGTTGCTAAATGTATAGTCTAATTGTGTGTCTGCATGGTGCAATGTAAACAAACATGACATAGTTGCCAGAGGTGTAAAGTAAGGAATTACATTTACATTTACGTTACTGTAATTACCTGTAACTTAGGCAACTTAAGTAGGTTTTCTGTTAAGTATTGTAATTCGCTACATTTTAAATCACATCCGTTACTGAGTAAAAAAAATAGGCCTGCTATGAATGATTTTCCCTCACTGGAGGGACGAGAGGGAGAGAGAGAGACAGAGAGAGAAAGAGAGAGAGAGAGAGAGAGAGACAGAGAGAGAGAGGGAGAGAGAGAGACAGAGAGAGTGAGAGAGGGAGAGAGAGAGAGAGAGAGAGGCAGAGAGAGAGAGAGACAGACAGAGAGAGAGACAGAGAGAGAGAGAGAGAGACAGAGAGAGACAGAGAGAGAGAGACAGAGAGAGAGAGAGGGAGAGAGAGAGACAGAGAGAGAGAGACAGAGAGAGAGACAGAGAGAGAGGGAGAGAGAGAGAGGGAGAGAGGAGAGAGAGACAGAGAGTGCCACTTCAGTTAGTGCAGAGTGGATAAGCTCCTCCACTACAGTGGGTCTACCTGCTGAAGGTGTTTATAAACTGAAGTCTCATTTTCTAAAGTCCAAGATGATTTAAATAAGTTGGCTGTGGTTCTTACTCTTGGGCAAAGAAGATGTGTGAAAATATCTCAGATGTGTGAAAATAAATACTTCAAACCAAACAGACTCAGTTAGAAGCTTCAGTAGCTAATAGGTAATCAAACAGTGACTAAACATCTAATATTTAAGCTCATAAAGGCTCATTTTAAAACAATACATGGATTGTCTTTCATCTCAGGTTAATCAGCCTTTGAGGCTGTCTTTGAGACTAACCAGCCTCAGAATAATAAAACTAAAAACACTAAAATACTCTTTACACTTTTTATGATTGAGACAAAGATCCTTATAGTATTTTCTTAAATAGTTTAAAGGCTTAATATGCGATTTTTCACACTTAAATGTAATAGTACATCCTCTGAAAAGTATATCCTCTGAAAATAACTGTGAGTCATGACTGTCTACAATGGGTGTAACACCCGAGTCCCACTGTCTGTGATGCTATCCGAGTTTTCCGAGTCCTATCTTCAGTTTGTTTACATCGCCGGGACGGCCGGCTGACTCCTCTCCTCATGTATAAAAGTTGTTTAATTGAGGGACTAGAGAAAAGAAGAATAACATACTGTACTCACTGCTTAACTGTGTTTCTAGATCACGCTCATTTCAGGTAAATTTACATGCAGTGTGAAGATACGAGCATAATAAAGATCGCTAACATTAGCATGCTAACACAACAATGCAGCGCAAGTTGTTTTGGTTTCATGCTGGTGCTCAAGGGTGACATCTGCTGGATCAAAAAAAAATCACATATAAAGCCTTTAAACATTTCCCTTCATAAAACAGCTGATTACTTGAACATATAATCCTTGATTATTTATTCATCATTATGTATATTTTGTTTTTGTTAATGGGGTAGAAAAGAAAATGTTTATCTGAAAAGATAGCTCTTTGTAAAGATTGGCCTTTTATTAAAAAAAACTTTGAGATTAATATCCTCTCGTCCTTTTTTCACAACACACGAGAGATGTGTTGTTAAAAAAAGTAACTAAGTAACTTTTACTTAAAGTACATTTTAAACAAGTTACTTTTTACTTTTACTTTGAGTACATTTTTAAACTGGTACTTTTACTTGTACTTAAGTAAAATTTTATCAAAGTAACAGTACTTATATATTAGTACTCTTTACACCTCTGATAGTTGCAGACTTCATCTGTTACCTTTTCTTCTAAACTTTCCTCCATAGTTGTATCTGTTCTCTGTTTTCGCCGATGTTTTTCTAATCAGGTCTCAATGCCATGAGAACTCTACACTGCTCCTAGTGGTTATATGCATATTGCATCTCGCGGACATGTAGCATTATTTTTTTCTGCGGACGTGCACAACCAACGCTCTAAAATCACTGCAGGATACGCAAAGCTGATGTGATGTGTACGCGTAGTTAAAAGTACTTCTGGAGTACTTCAATATTATAGCGTTTTTTTTTTCTCCTTTTACCCCCCTGCAGCCAGGCGGATTAGCTTAGCACAAAGACTGAAACGCCTCCTTCAGCAGACGCTCCTGGAGGTGAATAAAGTTACCTACTCAAGTTAAACAAACGAGAAACTGTTTAATCTTTTCAATCGGTCAGCTGCGCCAGGTCCTCTGAGGTGGATCCAGCTCCCTCCCTGTTGCCGGTCTTTATGCTAAGCTAAGTTAAAGTGGCCGCTGAGACAGTGCAAACATGAGAGTGGTATCGAGCCTCACATCTGTTCAGGGAAGCAAATACATTTCAAAACTGTTTGTTTCATGAAACACAATGAGAAGATAAACTGTGTTTATTTGTAAATGTTTGAAGTTGGGTTAAAGTTTTTGTACCACGTATTCTTGACGTGTGTTTTCTTAAAGAGCTGTGTAAATCAATGCCTTATTTGGTCGTTTACCTGTGATTGTTAAGTCCTTTTTTTTATGAATCACTATTTCTTCACTAATGGTCGTACAAACACTCAGCTCCTCCTCCTCCTGCTGCTGCTGTGATTAGTGATCCGCCTCCCCCGGGCCAGCCCCATGTTCTCCACAGAGAGGGTCCACAGGGATCTGCAGCCGACAATGAAAACCACATGTGAAGGGATGAGAAGGCCTTCAGTTGTTTGCACTTATCATTTTAATCACTATTCACTGACGAGGTATTTGTCATCAACGCGGTTTTAATCGAGTTAACCCGACTTCCGTTATGTCCCTCTGTTCTCGAGAGGCTGCGGGGGGGTGTTCCAAACAGGATTTGTTGCTCTCTCTGCTTTTCACATGCGGGTAGAAGAACAAAGAGCAAGAATTGCTCCGACCTCCAACACTTCACCATGGCGAAATGAGCGACAGCAGGTTTATACAGAACAGTGCTGTGTCCTTTAGAGCAGGGGTTCCCAAACTTTTCATCCCCCAAAATAACGATGCAAGAGACCCCGGGACCCCTTCTGTCCCTGAAAGTGGTTAAAGCATAACGGTGCACACAGCAGTACGCACTAATGGGCCAATCCAAACATCGACATTAGAACAACAATAAAAACAATATAGCAGCCTTCAACTAATTGAACAACATTTTTGTATGTAATTTCAAAATAAAAGGTAAAATATGTCATTTCAAGTAATTTCCAGTTTGCATTTGTTTTTGGAAGGCAACTCACGACCCCCCTCCCAGTGTCTCGCGACCCCCACTTTGGGAACCACTGCTTTAGACCTTCAGACCCTAAGATATAAATATGTTGTCTCTCTATGTCAGGTGTGACAGTTTAACAGTAATCGCCTGGACTTTCACTGACTAATTCTGCCGAGAAATCCCTCAGAGGGTAATGTTACTTGGCTTGCAAAAGCGTGTGAACTACTCCAGACATCTGCTTTTCATTATTGGCTCCTTTTTTGATATTTCGCAACCTCTGAGTCAAAAAGAAACTACTTTTCTAAGTTTCTGTTTATGGTCATAAAATAATAAGAGTTTGGCGACTCAAATGTTTCATGGGGGGGGGGGGGGGGGGGGGGGGTTGACAAAGAGTGAGAGATGAGTTCTGGGTGGTTGTTGTTTTTTTCTCGACGAGATGTACCGATAAGCACGTGACCCAAAACGGAAACAATCAGCCGCTATTACAGCTTCAGGAGCGAGTCACGCTGTTGAGGATGACACACTGAAACACACGTTCGCAGCGTGACACACATCCAGGTCTGGTGGCGGCTGACGTCAAGGAGGCAGGGCACGAGTGCGATGCAGGACGTCGTCTGGATATCTCTGTACATTTTGAACTGTTTGGATTGTTTACTTGTTGTGAGGTGTACGCCTAAAGGAATCACGTAGGCTTGACTTCTCTTCCAAACTTCCTAAAAAAAACAACAGGAATCCTGAAATCACTGAAAGAGACAAAGTGTCACAGAGCGTCCTCCACCCGCTCCTCTTCAGCGCTAATGAACACTTCCCTTTTCATCATATTCTCTGATAGTTTCCGCTCGTTTGACAAAGACCAGATTCTCATTTCCTCCACTGTTCTGTAAATATTCAATTAGTGAGCCGCTCTTCTCCCTGTAACAGGCTGCTGAGATTCTTGACCCCTGCTCTTGTAACCATTTATAGACGACCTCTGTTCTCATCTCACACCAGAGGTCAGCCAGCGAGGCTTGTTTTTTGAGGACGTGTGAACAGACAACGTTACCATCCTACAGGCCTCCTGACCTGTTGTGACAACATACTGCTTCAATGCAATTCTAATACAATTCACTTAGCAGACGCTTTTATCCAAAGCGACATACATCAGAGAGTATGTACAACACAAGCAAGGATCTAGAAAAAAGGGAACAATGTCAGTAAGAGCAAACGATCAGCTTTGAGTCCGATTGGACACACAGGTGCTGACAGGAAGTGACCAGAGGCAAAGCACAACACTGATGGCAGTTCTTGAGAGCTCTAATCAGTATAGAAACCATCTTATAAGTCATCGTTATCAAACAAAAACCATCGTCATTACCATCATCATCATCAATAATATGGAGACCATCATCATTTAGTTAGTAGGTATTCATGAAAGAGCTGGGTCTTTAGCTTTTTCTTAAAGGTGCAGAGGGACTCTACAGATCAAATGGAGTTTGGAAGTTCATTCCACCACTGGGGGATGACAGAGAAGAAGAGTCTAGTCAGTGTCTTAGGACCCTGTTGTGAAGGTTGGATCAGACACCTTTCATTTGCAGAGCGTAGTGGGCGTATATTTTCAATTATTTGTTACCGACTGTTATAACTGTAACCAAATCAGCAAATCAGCAAATCAACTGCTTGGGGCCCAGACCAGTAGGGGGCTCCCTGAGGGCTCACAAACTTTAAACCACAGCAGCGGCCCAAAAATTACAGTAGAAAACCTCCCTAAGGGGGCCCCATTTAAAAGCATTCACTCTTGTTGCCTTGCAAAGCGTTGCATGCATCGCTGGTTTGAAAACCAAAATCTGTCAATGGAAGTCAACCATGAAAAACAAACAGGAATTATCCATCTATAGGAGAGAAAAAAATAACGGTAAAATACTGTAGGGGGAAGGGAGGTATGCTTCTGGACAATTACAGACATTATGGTGATAAATGCAGGTTGTAGGGCCCCCAATTATTTTATACCTGTGGCCCCAACAAGACTCTAGAATTGCCACTGTCGAGTACACTTGGATCGTGTCCAATACCACCTCTTCAAGTGGACTAGGGCACAGTACCCGAGTACAGGAGTTGTATTCACACTGATCAAATGAACTGGACTTTGGGGTGGAGCGTACTATGGTCCAGGCCTTTTTAAAAAAAAAAAAAAGTTCAACATTTTCAGGAAAAAATTTCGGCTTCAAAAAAGTTGAACATTTTGATGAATACTTTTATCTGAAAGTCTTATGTATCAAAGGACTCTGGATGAACCGCATCTTTATTAAGTTTATTCATAAAAAGGGTGGTGACGGTCTTATCAACAAAGACGTTGTGGTAGAAGTAAAACATTTCAAAGCATGAATCCGATCTGAATCATTTATTTACACCTTTAGTGTGCGTTGGTACAGGAAAAAGAACAACAACAACAGTATCCACAACATTCATGGTAAATCTGTGAGAACAGGCAGAGATAATGGAGTCTAAATCTTTTGTTCACATTTTCTCTTAATGAACAGGTTTTCAATCACAGCTGTCTGCATCTGCTAGCTGTCAGTATGCGCAGCAGGCCATCCATTTTGTTCATTTTGTTCATTAGTAGGCCTTCCTCTCAGTTTCCCATGGGTCTTTGTTTGTGTTGTCATGAATGACCTATGACCTGTGAGCTGATACTGTCCGACTAAAGTATCTGAACACCAACGATGTCTTGTCAGGAAGCTTCTTCCTCCAGTCATCGAATGGAAAGTTGGCAGACAAAGATGCATTGGGTGATAATTATTATTAATTGAGAAAATACAACACATGGAGTAAAGCTCTCAATGTTCATCTTGACACAAAATGAGAGTTTAACTGACACATGGCGTTCACTTTCTTAAACAACAAGGAGGGGTTTTTGGATGCAACCATGTGGATTTTTCAATTTAAAGGGGACATATTCTGAAGAATCCACTTCTACAGTGTTTTTGAACATATATTTGTGTAACCTGAGTGTCTACTGATCCACAAAATGTGAAATAAACCCATCCAGTCCTTTGTTTGTGGTCTGCGTCTTACAAAACAGAGAAAAATGCTCTGTTTCAAGTGTGCTCTTCTAGTGATGTCACAGAGGGATTCTGGGGAAAAAAAATCGCTGAGATTCTTGACCCCTGCTCTTGTAATCCCCTCCCTTGGTATCTTCACCCAGATCTAAACTTTTGCACAGTGAAGGATAGTGAAGGAGTGAAGTCTACGGGGAAAACGCAGAGGGGGTCATTGCATTTAAAGAGACACACACACCAAAACGGAACGTTCTGAGAGAGCTGGTTTATACAGGGTCCTCTGGTGCTTGATTCATGTTATATTTTGACCAAAGCACAGCACAGATGTTACATTTAGAACACAGGGGACTATTTGAAAAGGTGGAGAAGAGAAATAATATGTCCTCTTTAAGATTAATTAATTGTTTGTATTGATTTGAAAATGACCCTTTCTCTTCCCAACAAAACACATTTGCTCAAAACCGGCTCCACTCTGAGTAACTTGCACATTTACATACATAGTAATCTGTTGTAAAAAATAATAAATTAGAACAATAAATAGTCTTTTATTCGACACAAGCAGCAGAGGTATCACTAGACTTTTAACAAAAGTAACTGTATCTGTATTTCCCTGTGTATCAACAAAGGGGGTCCCACTTAACGCTCTTCAGATATGAACTGTCCAAAAAGGCAATCTTTAGCATGAAGGGATGGATGAGGAGTTGTAGATATGTTAGGGTTAGGGTGTTATTTCAGTGTTCATGTTACCTGGAGGACTACTGCACCCCTTGTCCTGTCCAACTTACTCATTGCATCACCCCAAGAAGAGCATCCAGTTCGCTGAGCCTGGGTGGTGGCATACATGTTTCTCAACCCCCCACACCTCGCTATCACTGTAGCCCGGGGGGAGGGGGAGTGGAAAAGAGGCATGTGAAGTGGGAAACAGAGTTTGGATAGATAACCCTGCCACCAGGACCCCCGAAAACAGCGCCTACGTATCAGGAGGCTGCAGGAGAATTTGTGTCTTGTCAGGTCGCCTCGGAGAGGTCATGTCACTGCACCAGGACGCATGAAGTGCTGATTAATGTTTGCATCAAGTGGAGGAGGCCAGAGATAAGTGGGAGGAAGACAGATGTCGGGGGGGGGGGGGGGGGGGGGAGAGAGTGGGAGGGGGATAACTCGCCCGCTGGTTCCCACCAGGCTGCACGTGCTGTAGGATGTGAAGGTATGAGGACATACCTCGGCGTCGCTAGTCTCTTCACTGCCAGAATGATGGTGGCTGATATTTGTGGCCTCGAGAGAAGCAGTACTTGTTCCTCTTCTGCGGTTGAATCATGAATCTCATTTAGTGGCACATACTTTCATGTGCGGTTCATGTGTACTTCCAATCTGACCGAGGAACTCTTACAAATACCTGGAAAGAGGAAATAAGCCAAAACTGTTTTCAGGTTTTAACGACATAGGAATACTTGTAAGTTCAGTTTTCTTTCCTCTTAACGTAAGACTTAAAGAGTTGCACTTCCTGAAAGCATCGACTATCTGCAGCCACACTCCGCCACCACCATGCCTTCAAACTTGTACTTGTAGGTGACCACCCCTGTGTCGTCCAGGTACAGCATGGAAATGGGGTCCAGCTTGGTGGGAACGCAACATGCCCGCGCTGCCTTCTGAGGACTGTTGATATTAACCAGCGTCTGGACAATGGCGTGCTTGGTGGGCGTGACGTGCTTAGTGAGCGGGAAGGAACAGACGCCACTGCACTCGAAGGCGTCATAACCGGTGGGCGCCAAGATCCAACTGTCCCACCCAATGTCCTTGAACTCCACGTACAGAGATTGCTTCTTGCAGTGGTTCCCCTTTGCGTTCCGACGAATGCGGGATGCCGTGTCGTAGATGAGATTGGAGCGCATTTGGATGAGGTCTTCTTCGTCGGGCTCGGCTTCTTCGTCTTCACCGTTGTCCCGCCCCAGCTCCTCCCACAGCTCGTTCAGGCCAATCCCCAAGTCATTCTCCAGAACCATGTTAGAGGTCTCGTGGTCGATCATCTCGTTCAGCTCTCGTTTGTCGTCGCGGTGATCGCTGCTTTGGTCGTCGGAGAAAACGATCAGAAGAGGTTTGTGCTTTTCACCCGGGCTGGTGTCGATCTTCATGTCTCCTTCAGGCGGATTCTTTTCTGCGTTGCCTTCCGTCAGACCTTCCTTGTCATCCACGGCCATGCTAGCAATTTGCACTTCCAACCGGTGCGTGGTTCCACGGTCAGATTTGCGCCAGCGCTGAACGGCAGCAGTGATGTCGAAAGCCTCCCAGCCGTTATCCGTGCCAAAGACCTGCCGTGAAGCCAGCTCCACTGACTCGATCCTGTCCCCGCCCCCTCTGAAGGCGTCCCCCCTCACAGGGTTCTCATCAGTGACGTTGTCGTCTCTGTCGTGGGACGCCAGTTCAAAAATAGTCACCTTGCGGTCGACCCCCGCGTAGAGATGGCGGTCGGTCTGGACAAGGGTGTAGAGGCGCAGCTCAGCCGCTGTGATGCGTTCATGATGGGGGACTGACACGTTGAAGAGGAGCGGGTGACAGCGGACGCCTCCAACACCCACAGTGCTCGCAGATGAATCTAAGGAAGTGAGAAAAACAGGGTCAAAGTTCACCTACTTTTAATGAGGTTTTCAATTGAATTAAATTAATCCCATCGTACCCCTATTAAGACTTCTATCCGCCCTTTTAACCTTAACTATTATCTGACCTTTGTTTCAAGCTGCACATTTCCAGAGTGTGATATAATCTCGGTTTTTAAAGATTCATTGGGGGCCTTTTGGCCTTTAAAAGATATGACAGCTAAAGAGAGACAGGAGAGAGAGCGGAGGATGACACATACCACAAAGCGACAGGACCTGGAGTTTAATCTGCATTGTATAAATTTACAATGAGAAGTTGAGGGAACATGGCTAAAACTTTGATATTAAAACAAGTTAAATGCTTGAAGCTGCAGTCTACAAAGTTGTACTTTTATACTCAAAGACTATTTTTCTAAGTTTCACGTCTGACATTATTTTGCCATGCGGACCAAAACCCTAACCCTACTCTTAGGGGGAAAGTACAAATTTAATTTAAATGAGTAACGACATAGAAACTGTACCAAAAACAATGCAGCAACTACAAGAAAAAGAAAGTCTTGTCAGTGTCAATGCACAAGATTATTTGTGGAAGAAAAGTTGCTACCTTCGTTCTTGAAGCTGCGGATGATGTTGGCAGTGGGCATTGCAGTGCGGTCGTTAGCAAAACGGTTATAGAGCTCCATCATGTACTCCGGTGGATCCTCTCGGGTGCTTCCAGGTGGCATGGGAGGGGGACCTACACCGGACAGGTTGAACGTCCTCAGAAACTGATCCTTCAGGCTCTCCAGCAGGCTCTGCATGTCCGTGCTGCTGTCCTGCTCCAGCAGCGACGGATCCATGACTCCCCCATGCCCGTCTCCGAGCCCCGGAGCCGGGCGATGCCTCTGGTGGGTGTTGGAAATCGGGTTGCTTTGTCCGCAGATAGGCCCGTGGAGCAGCAGTGTGGAGAACAGCAGGAGCAAAGTCTTGGAGCTGCAGATGGTTCCCAGTTGAGAGACACAAATGCTCGCCATGAGAAAAAAAAAACGATCTGCAGCTTTTCTATTTTGTGTCCCTCGGAGATTATGTGGTCGAACTAGCACAGCAGACAAAATGATTGTGATCTCTAAATCCAAAGGTCAATAACAAGTTGTAAGTTTGTCTGCAGGGTAAGAAAGTTCCTTTAAGGAGACAATAGTGTCGTTGACCCTTCACCGGTCAGATGTGAGCGCTCTTCTGGAGCCTGTAATCCTGTTGCTCTCTTCCAGATCTCACAGCATTTGTCCTCATGCACACCTTTTGATGTCCTGTGAGATACGGCTGCAGTTCCGGTGACAGGGTGGCCGAGGCTTGTCTTTGTCCATCCGAGTCATCTCTGTGGGTCTCCCTCTGTGCTCTGCTCTCTTCTTTCAGTCCCTTATCTATGATATGGTGTGCTCTGCATTGCTTAGTGCTTATGGTCTCTTTGCTGGTGTGTGTGTGTGTGTGTGTGTGTGTGTGTGTGTGTGTGTGTGTGTGTGTGTGTGTGTGTGTGTGTGTGTGTGTGTGTGTGTGTGTGTGTGTGTGTGTGCGTTTGTGTGCCTGCCTTCAACTTTGTGATGCACATGAGCGTGTTATCTCACAACTTCCTTAATGAGCATTTTGTAAACACTGTCCTGTAGCCTCTTCCTTGTGGAAGTGCTATTTTGTTTGGGTGGGTGCTGCAGGGTTGATATTCTTCATTTGTTTATTCGCCTTGTAAATGGTGGAGTTCTGCAAGCTGCTTTGCTGTTGAGTTGAGTAGTGCAAAATAATTAGTCATGTGCATCACCACCCTGTTGTGCCTGCTGAAACGCTCTGTGTTATGTTCCACTTCTGGGCAGTGACTGAAATGGGTTATCTGATCACAGGACATTTAAAAAGAATCATCAGCCAAACGGTTCAAAACAAGAATATAAGAGGCACGTGCAGAAATCTCCTGAGAATGTCTCCTAACCTTTTTTTTTTGTCAGAGCTGCATCTGCATTGACTTCTCCTGCCAGCTCCCTAAGTAAGATGTCTGTGTGAAGTCAGGGTGAGCACATGTGTGTGAAAGCAGAAGAAAATTGTCAGGAAAATTCACAACAACTGAGCGAGCAGGGGGATGACTTTAATATCATGTGACCAGTTTGTGACGTGGAGCACGAGATGAAGCTGCTTCATACTCTTCTCTGCATAGCCAGTTATTTTCCTCTCATTTGTTGATTCTGTGAATATGTCCTGTTACACATAGATTTGATATAAAGGCAAACAAACTGTTATTACAGTGTTAGACTCTGGAGGTTGTCAGTCATTTTTGATTTCTGCAGCTCCAACATGGTTGTGTTCAAAACCACCTACCACATACTACTATCAAATGTAGTATGTTGTACATACTGCATACGATTGTCGAATGTAGAATGACTGCCGGTCGATGTTAATTATGGAGTAAAGATTGGAATGAGGAAGTAAACAACAGTCCAGCTGACGTCAAACGCTGCTGCAGTGTAGCATCCACTTACAGTCTGAGAAAAGCTGACGATAGATTCATTCAGATTTTCACCATTTAAAGAATCAACAAAGATAACTGGTGGTATCTGTGTGTGGTTTGGTCTGATTGTGATTATTTCCTCTGTTACGATGGACGCTGCTGTCCGTCATTTCATTCTCTGACCTGGCGCTTTGCATTGTGGGAAACAAAACGTGAGGGAGACCGGTCTGATGCATACTGTAAATATTTCAGTACAACATTTTGTGTTCATGGCAGACAATGGATCTCACATTTGTTCACATACTGCATACTGCATTTTGGCCAAATCAGAACATATTACTAGTATAGTGGTACCCGAGAATTCACCAGGTCACATTTGACGGCCATGGAAACACGTCTGTAGTGTGTTTGTACACGCTGAAGCAGACTTTGAGCCGTGACTCACACCGGCTCCCCGACAGATCTGACAAACTGTTCCATTTGTCACCTGAACCCCTCGCTCCACTACACAAGCGTCCTTCATTCCTGAGCTTCTTTGTGTGACCTGCAGATACACTCCTGATTGCGGTGCGTCACAGAGATGGGAAGGAATGAGCTTTTCCTGCCTTTGCCACTCATCTGCCAGGCTGACGGTCGACAGACATCTCTGTTATCTGTCACTGTGTTAAACCGCTGCTGGAACAGACTATCACATCTTCCTGGTGGATGTAGGAAGGCTTGATAGTGTCCTTTTGCAAACACACACACACACACACACACACACACAAAGACACACACGCACACATGGTCTGTATTAAGGACTCAATGATGTAAGAAATCTCCAATCAAGGCCGGAGTTTCTACTTTTGCTTTAAACCTTTTGTACACAAACAGTGTTTCAGTCGCTGAAAACTCTCCGTTAGTAAAACTCCTTCCAGGGTGAAGACGTTCAGAAACTCTGTTTCAGGTGTTTCTGTGTAGACGAGGAGAACAGAGTTTAGTTCTTGTAACATCACGCTGTGCGCCGGTTTCTCCTCCGCTTGGCGTCATCGTGTGGCGCTGTCCCTTTAATTTATGAGATTAGTGCGATGGCAGATGTAACAAAACTAGTGCTGGTGCTAACTTTGCTAACCAGACTTTTTACATGCTCACACATACAGATACAGTTACTCTCCCACTGTGTGGACAAGCAGAGACGTCTGATTGGACGACGGAGGCCATTGCTGCTTTGTATGACACTCTGACCACACAGACCCCGCCCCCAACGTCTGGGGTTTTGGAAAAGACCGGGTTAGACTTCGGGTTGGTGGGATAACTTTGTAAATGAAAATGGTTGTTGCAGAAGAAGGGGGAGAAAATGTTTGCATGTCACTGACTTGGCATGCTCATGACAGCCGTAACAGTGTGGGTTTTTTTGTTTTTTTTTAACAAAGATGTCTTTGAGAACTTAGCAAGTGTGGACGTTCAGGTGTGGACTAGTACTGAGTCTTAAAGATCTGCATATTTTTTGTATTAAAACACATCAAAAACCATGATTCAGACTTCTGGTGTATTGTGCTCATAGACTTTCCAAGGAATCCGTTCTCCAGCTGATCATTTTCAGCTTCAGTGTTTCTTCATTTTCGTTTCTTCAGTGTTTGTCACATATTGGTTAATTTGTAGCAGCCAGTTCACACAGGATTCAGGGTTAGTGGTGTTTGTTCCCCAGACATCGTTCAGCTGTCTGTAGTTGTGCCTTTCCCTTTTTACTCTCTGAAATTGAAACAGGGGGTGCCTGTAGTCTAAAGTGGTTAGTGCATGTGTCCCATGTACAGAGGCTACGACCACCTGACGCCCAGCCTCCACCATCAGACTGTGTCGTCCACACAACCACTGCCATCCTCATTCATGCACGGCCTGCTCCGACCTTCACCTCAGCAGCGAGGAAGTGTGGACAACAGGAACGTGAGGAATACAAAGGAGAAATCCTTCCTGCACCTTATCCTATCTCCACCTATCCCATTTTTCTTTTGTAACATAACAATGAGTACGTTTTTTTTTTAAGCGTCTCAAGATAACACTTGTTGTGAATTGGCGCTATACAAATAAAGGTTGATTGATAGTCCTCCAAGCGGGAATCCGACCTGTGGCTCCTTTTCCCGCATGTCAATCCCAACTCTCTCTCTCTCAACGATTTATGACTCTATCTACTGTCCTGTCTCTAAAATGAAGACATAAAAAGCCCCAAAATAAACCTTAAAACTTAGCACTCCCTGCTTTTCTTTAGCCTCAATATGAAAGATAAATGATGTGCACAGGCTGTTTCAATACTTTGGAGTTTGCCAATCCATCACCAGAACCTCTCTCTTGTCCGGAAATGATCCACTCAGTGACCACATGCTGAACTCAAGCCTAGAGGCAGATGACAAACCAAAGGAGGTTACATTATGGTGGTTAATACGGCATGGTAGCTTGGTCATTTGGGGGATTTCCACATTCAGATGTTAACAGTAAGCCAAACTGTTATTAACAGAACATTTGTTATTGTATCTGTGTCGGCGCTCAGTCATCCAGGTCATGGTAAATTCTAAGCTGGAGCCAAAGGAAACTGGACTGGTTGAAGATCTTGAACCAGTCCAGTTGCCTTTGGCTCAAGCTTCGAATGTGTTATTGTAATTATTATATTGACTGTTGTGTGTAATGTCTTTTCAATCATGCCCTCTTGTTTTAAGTCTCTCAACACTTCACTTGTATCTGAAATGTTACGGCTGCTTTCAGGTGACATTGCTGATCTGTATTATGGGTGCATGTAGGCTAAAGGGGCGGCTGTTGTTCAGTTGGTAGAGTCGGTCGTTTCTCAACAGGAAAGGTTTGGGGTGTCGATCCCCAGCTCCTGCTCTGATGTCCGATGTGTGAGGAATGAATTACTCCCACTGGTTCATCAGCGGCGTGTGAATATGTATGAATGGATGACTTAAAGAGGACATATTATCCCCCTTCTCCACCTTTTCAAACAGTCCCCTGTGGTCTAAATGAAACATCTGTGCTGTGCTTTGGTCAAAATATAACATGAATCAAGCACCAGAGGAGGTTTGTGACCCTGTATGAACCACCTCTCTCAGAACACTCCTTTTTGGTGTGTGTCTCTTTAAATATAATGACCCCCCCCCCCCTGAGTTTTCCCAGTAGACATCAATCCTCTGTAGTGAGAATAAAAATGGCTAACCTGATCAAAAGTTTTGTTCTAGGCTGGGGGTGGAGTCCATGGGTGGAGATACCAGGGGAGGGGAAGGGATTTTTTACCAGAATCCCACTGTAACATCACAAATTTGAAACAGAGCATTTTTCTCTGTGTTGTAAGACTTATGCAGACCACAAACAAAGGACTGGATGGGTTACACAAATATATGTTCAGAAACACTGTAAAAGTGGATTTTTCATAATATGTCCCCTTTAATACTGATGGACTCTTTACTCAGCAGCCTCTACCATCAGTGTGTGAATGTGTATGAATGGATGAGTTAACACTGATGGACTCTTTACTCAGCGGCCTCTACCATCAGTGTGTGAATGTGTATGAATGGATGA